GGACAGCGGCTTTCCTCACAGACATGGACCCATCTTTTACAGCCTTTTCTAAAGTCAGCTGATCGTAATTCTGAGTTTTGTCCCTCTTTTTGTATATATATTTCCTCGGCATACTGAAACAATTGTGAAAATTAACTAGAGGGCCATGATGACACTACATCGCTCAACCTTTATGACAAGGCCAAGGTCAAACAGATTAAAATGTTTTTTCTTATAACGACCCCTGGGGCAGAGTCAAGTTATACCGCATTGTTTAATATGAGCAAATTTGGTAAAGAACTACAACGTCAATTTTATTGATGCAAAACATGATACATGTCAAATGTCAAAATAACCAGTTTCGCATGAAATGGAACATCCTTGCCAAGTGTATTCATTTTTAGCGCGTTTCTAACATTTGACATTTACATTACTGCTCTTCGTGCTAATGGACACTACTGCACAAAACGCAAAACATTCCAAGAGGAGGAGAAAACATACAACAGTATTCCTGCCTACCACGAAGAGAAACTAGACAATCTCTTTGTGGGTATCGACACCTTGCACAAAAATTACTCAATCTTGCCTTTCAAATTGTACAATTTTTGTACAAAGAAGTCTTGTCAGGGAGAAAAACTTTATAAGACATTTGTCTTTCATTCTTATCCTTTTCCATTATGTAAATTTGTAATTGTTAAACTGTGTGAATGCATGTGTATATATGGGAATAAAATATGTTTAAACTATAAATGATGCTTTTTAAGGCAAGAAATTTTCCACACCCAATATATGTAGGAACAGACCAAGAAGTCGTCATGCCAAACTATTACACGTTATAATTAGTTATGGAAATATGCGAAGTTTAAGTAGGGACTCCCAATTGGTGTGTAAAGAAATAAGTGTGACATCCAGCGTATCGATGACAAATTATCAGGCTAGCTCTTGACATTTTATTTTAGTGCTAACCTTTCACTTATTATCTGAAATAAAACAATGAAATGCAAGGCTCGTTTTCTATTTATTTCAACATGATATACATCCGTCCGTCATAAACATCAGTTTATAAGGTGAAACATTTTAATTCATCACATGCAACATTTAAAAATTCAAGTTCTTCATCGATCAGGTCCGATATACAATTTACAAGGAATATTTGACTCTGGGCAGGTTCATTCTTTTGTTGCCACTTCTCTATCCTATCGAGAATGCGGACAGCTACAAGCGGATACTTACGTATAAACCAATTTTATCAGAAAAGCATGGAGATCGTATATTAGATTATGTTCGAACATTATTTCATGTTCTAACAAATATGTCAATTTGCCCCCAACCAAATATCTTCTCTGCGTTCTTTGCCAAGAAGTTCTAGAAGTGTAGAAATCAGACTGACGATGTTGCTGTTCATTTTAACTTGTCCTGGAGAGACATGGTAATGTAATCAATTTTATAAAGAGGAAGGATTGAGCTGGCGGACAGAAAATGTTAGAAGGTAGAAAGGGAAAATGGGCAGCGGTGGAGAAAGCACGTGTACTGGCACGAGATAATGAAAAGAAATACACAGCAGCGGATATGAAAAACATAGACTGCAATAATGCTACTATACAACACTACAACACACACGGACAGACAGACGAACAGAACAAAAATACTATTTTTTTGCAATCAAATAAACAAAATTGACAGTTTCATAGATCTTTAACCATGAATTTGTTTTAAATATAAAGTAGATCTACCGAATTGCATTATTGAGCTCTTAATGAAGATCTAGCAGAATATTATTTTCATCTCTTTTTTAATCGTGTAACAAATGAACTTATGGATTAGTTCATCTTTATTGAAGTATGTCCGTAGCTTTTGGTGAGAATGTACGGACACTTTAAAAATACTCATTTTTCTTCGTTCAAAGAGATTTCCACATAGGATAACTGATATATTTTGAAAGTTTAGACTACAAGCTCCAATAAATTACTTAATATTAAAGTTGAATAATACTTTAAGTATATTGATGTTTTAAACGGTAACTGATGACTTAAAAGATAAAGATAATGAAAAATGTTACTTTATATATATTAACTAAGAAAATTTTAGAAAAGTTTATTATGTTTTACAATAATTATAATTTAGAAACTTTAACAATAAAGAACATTTCGGAAGTTTTTGTTTAAAGTGACATTATGCCCATCCAAGGGTATATAGTGAGTGAACAGGTGAATTTCAAAATAAGGTTTCATTCTGCCATATTTCCTTTTAATTTTATAATTTACTTCCCATAAACAATAAGTAATGCACAAATCCAAATAAAATCTCTGCAAACATCTATAAGAATTAACCCATAACGCTCAGTTTATAGAAAGAGTGGGGCAGTCTTTTTATATATTAGGCAGATTTATATTTTATCTTGAACATTTTCCAATATCAACTGTTAGTCAAACACCATTTTAACAGTCAATCTTTTGAAATAAAAAGTCAATTCAGCTCAACTTAACTATGAAAATATGAGCATAAAGTCACTTTAAATATAATGCATGAATTATAATTTAGAATTTCCTACAACAGGTAAGAAACTTTTTGTTGACATGCATGTAGTAAATGTTTTAAAAATAGAACAATGATAATATTGGAAATACCAACTGGTAAGATATTGCATACATAACAATATCAATAAATACGCGGGTATACCTCGCGGTAGTTAGGACTGAGCTATCTTGAATGTCAACAAAGATGAAGAAAAAACACGCGGCCAGTCACTTGCGCATGCGTGTCATGACGTAATTTCAAATCTTACGTCACATGATTTTAACGAATAAATACCACAGATTTAAAGCGTGTCAGTTGTCCACAAACTGTGATACACTTATAACGGATACTTAAATGAATTATGTCCGTAGATACCTTCTCGTCCGTACTTGCCCGGATTGCCTCCACTGGAAACTTTTGATTTTTCTCTGTCATTGTAGATCTTTCTTGTTTATGTGTAGGAAATGAGCTGTATTTTTGGGTTTTCACCCGAAACAAAGCATTTTGATAGCTTTGTATTTATTTGTGACTCTCCGAATAGAGGTGAAAAAGTTCAAATCAATCTTTGACAGCTGGCGCCACACAAGTAAGAAATTTTTGATAAATTTTGTGAAAAATCTAAACGTATGACAGAAACTTTATTGGTCATTTTTTAAAATGAACCAATATCTTTATTGTACATTAAATTGAAAGAAGTGAATTAGCGCATACGGTTGCTGAGACATTATATTTTAAACATCATCAAACATACTTCTATGACAATATTTATTTTTCAAGATTATTCATGAGAATTCCGATCTGACATTTGAGTTTCGTCGTATGTTAAAATACAAAAATGATCAATAACGTATACATGTATATTACATTATAGATTTTGATATTCGGTGTACCCGACACATTAGCAAAACTACTCTTGTCTTGATATACACGATGTTAATACAGTTCTCTGAAACGGACAAATATTTACTATGCTTATGTTTTGTAAGTTCTGTACAAAAAAACTTAACATGTATTTAAAGTTCAGTTATTAATGTATTAATGTAATGTGGCAAAAGTGATTAGATATGTATATTGAATGTGCGCAGGTTCAATACTTCATTTAATACTACACAAATATAGATAATACAATATGCTGTCTAACACAAAGTTATGTACAGTGAAAAACAATTGAGATGATAACAATTTGAACATAATTTGTAAATGTTAATGTTTTATTATTCAAATTACGTCATGATATACATGTACATGTATAGTAATAACATTAATATAATATTGTTTTTATTATATTTTTTGGTCGTGATAATTTTATTAATAAAATATACACAAACAATCAGAAACTTTGTGCGTAACCATAGAGCTATCTCCTTGGCGACATGACTGCCTCCACGACAGATTTTTCTCTAAGAACAAATATCCAATGTTTTCTTTATTAACAAATGTTTTGATCTGATTTCAATCTTATTTCATTTTTAGACTGAATCGCTGTTTAGATGAAAATTGGAGGAAAAAATAATCTGTTTCTTGATGAAACGGTCCATTTCAACGCTGAATTCGCTAACTGGGAAACGCCGCAACAACAACATTTTAAACAAAAGTATGATAACTTTACGTTTTCTGGAAACTTTAATCAAATCTACATCGCATAGCATTCTCTGAATTTTGACATTTGGTGTCGAGTTTACAAAATATATAAAAAATGAAAACACTTGACACTTGATTTTAGCGACATGCACTAGCTCGGAAGTAGCGATAGAGCGATTTACCGTATAAAGAGGTAGCTCTATCATTTACCAGGTGTGTTTTAGGAGCAATGCATGCAAACTATTATTTTCTTCAATGTATGTCATATATCCTTATATAATGCTGTGAAACTGGTTATAAGTCACGTGATAATTTTCCTTTTAATAACAAATCGCTAAAATTCTAATAATAAAGATACCAATGAATAAGATTGTTTAAATTAAATGTTTCGAAGTCATTTAAACAAAATACCAACCGATTCAGTATTGTAAAAGTATTCTTTTCTTCTATTTCAACGTTAATTTCGAAAATTATATATTCAAATTATTGTGTTCACTACTTTATGTAGTGTTATATGAACAGGTCATTATGGTGATCCTCTATAACAGGTTATACATGTATTACTAGGCTCGTGTAACTAATGTCCGATACTTTAAACGTGTCTTCTGTTTAATATAAAAATATAAGTATATAAAAGTGATGAAACATTTATAAAATGTTCATATAATATAGTTTGTACGTAAATTATGTTCAGACATATACAGAAAAAAACATGTAAAAACTCCAGTGTCACTATCTTACACAAATAATAAATATCTTCATCGTGTAGTTCCCTTAAATTACGAAACGTATTATCAATGTTAACAATGATAACTGTATGTACATGATATGTCTGAAGCTTCCTGGTATACGAATTTAAATCCGGTTACACCACACTATAAAAAGCTTATTTCGTGCACACTGACGAGTTTATAGTGAATCCTTTTGAAGTGTCAATATCCGACTATTCTTAAATACAGTGTTGGTATCTTAAATACAGTGTTGGTATCTACTTAACTAGGAGATGAGATCAATGTTACTGTATGTCTTTATAAATGTGAGGATATCATTAAAATGTCACGTCATGACATTATTTGTAACTGTTCTGTTATAGATTGAAAGGATTTTATCATTTGAAACATATCTTATCTGGTGATACTAAGTACTGTCTAACAGAAAATGTAACTTTTAAATGTCCGTGTAAAGATATTTTTTATTTTTCTTAGTCTTAAATCATATTTATCACAAACAATATGGCGGTGGTTGTTGGTAAAGGATCCTTTCGAGGATTTGCGGAAAGTACACATTCAGCGGGTAAGTAAAATATATAAATGCATATTATAAATAGTAATTTTTGTACCAATAGATGTTTATGTACTGTTATTTCGTATGCAAACATTATTTTTTTGTTTTAAGACATCTATGTCACATCATTGAGATGACATTGTATGTGAGTTGTATGACCTGAAAAGTTATTAATTAAATGTGAAGTCATGCCAATGTCATTTTGTATTCGCAAGCGCTAGCCTTATTCATTAATGTTTTATCACTGAAATGTTAAGTTGTAAAGAAGATAGCATTATACATAAGCCGAACACATTATATCCACACATTTAATATTTTTCTAAATACAAATAATAAGTTGAGAGTTTCCCTTTTCCTTTTCTATACATGTAATGTATTAAAGAGAAATTTGCTTTGTGATCGAATCTGCGACATCTAAGCGACCTACAAGACGAAAGAATTGTATCTTAGAAAACCGCTGCTATATTTGTTCGTCGAGTCAATTAATACGTCGTATTGTTCACAAAATGTATACTTATAGTCTAACCTGGTCTATATTCGATTATATTAGTAGTTATGTATTATACAATAAATATGTGTAAGAATTCTGTGTTGTTTTCAGACATACTCCAAGACGATTTGTCAGCCGAAGAGAAAATCAGTAGCTGCCTACAGAAGATTGCTCGTAATAGTAAGATTAAGTTACAACACTTCGTAAACTATCACAGAAATTAAACAAATCAGAATTATCACAAGGAGTTAAAGCTAGATAGTTTATCATACCCATGTGTCTCGCAATGATTGCAGCTATTATATTTGAATACACTAATTGCAATGATTTCATATTTTTAACATGAATGTTACGATAAGACTTATATTACAAAATTGTTAAATTATAATCAGTTGCGTTAACTATGTAATGTTTACCTGTTCTTCTTTTAGCTCAACAACTTAAAAAGATGATAGACAGTGTAGGATCATCGTTGGATTCCAGAGACCTCAGACATAAGTTGTATGTTGCAAATGTTACAGTCTTAAACCTTTATGAGCTCATACTATATGAATAATTTGAAAATATATGTAACATTTAATTAATGGTTGCATTTCACATATGTTGCTTTAATAAGAATTGTCTTTTCAGTTAAGATCAAGAGTTTTTGTACTATATTCTGTAGTGTATCAAATTGTATATTGATACAATCCTAAAGCACACTTTACGAGCATATATTTTGTATTATTACCCCTCACTATTTTTGTAAAGTTAATTTCCCAAAGACCAATGAGATGTTAATTCAAGTGTATGATTGATTAAAAAAATGTACTGTCATATAGGTTACAGTATATAAATAACATATGGGTTTGTGAGTAACATTAAAAATATCATCCCAGGTAAATACTCTTTCCCGAGGCGTTATTACCCCGAACAAATCATTTGAAAAATTCAAATAAATCTACCTGTAACAAACTTAAACCAAGAGTAACAATAAGTCAACTATCCTTACCTTGCAAGTGACCAGATTTTAAAAGTACTGTAACCCTGTTACAGTACAAATTTCTTAGTCACATGGTACACTTCCTGTAACAGTAAGAATAGCTCCCAGTAGCCTATGGGAAATTAACATTACAAAAGAAGTGAAGGGTTATAATACTTTTTCACTAGAAAACGTGTGTCAATGAAGTATTTTAATTTGTTTGGGATAATAAAATAAATGTTAAATAGATTTTCGGGTATTAGCAATGATATCATACCTCGTGAAGTAACTGTTACCCACGGCAAACGCTTCGGGTAACAGTATTTTCCTCAGAATAATATTTTTACTTTACTCACAAACCTTTATGTTATTAATATACTGTAACTAAGTAGCTTTTAAATATAATTGATATTAACATTCTATGCTGGACTTTGATATACCAGACTCTTGGTAACAATTTGAAGCAAAGCCAGCGTCATAATCCTTCCGGACAGTATTTCAGATTTATATTTATAAAGTAGGTTTCGAATAAATCATAAGTAATGTTAGTGTGACTCTTTGGTTACTAAAAGCTGCCGTTTAAATAGCCATCATTATAATATCATCTTAAAAATGTTAACACGAAATATTCTGATAATAGGATTACATATGACCACTTATAACAGTACAAATGACTCCAAGGACTTAAGGAAGTAAGTATTGGAAAAAATTATGATTTATAAACAGCTGACAGCTTCTGAATACGGTATAAAATTAGCTTCCCTTCAAACCTTCCAATTCGCAGCGGTTCGTAATCAATTTTATTACCATAATATATTTTCCCTAAAAAGTGGACGGCATTGTATTTCATGTTTTTCGTCACAAAACTTTGTATTTGTTTTTCATTTAAAAGAATGTACTTTCTTACTCTTATTATCCAATATAGTGGGGCGGGAAATATAGTCTCTTCTGTAAAAATAGTGCAAATGGTGATACAAATATGAAATCTTCAGGACATTATCTGTAGACAATGTAGGCTTTACAAGTGGGAAAGCCATTTCGAAAGACAGGATGGTAGACTTTAACTTCATAAAATCCGGATTCACGATTTCAACTTCACGATTTCAAGTTGGAGTCGTAAATTCATGATTCTAAAATCATGAACTCTTGAAGTTAAAATTGTGAATTCACGAAGAAAAAATAGGGAATTCATGGAGTTGAAATGTCCCCACCTGTCTTTTGTAAATTTTTCATAAATTCGGTTTATATTTCTACAGGAGCGCTGTTCAATCGGAAACTAATCAACTTACAAAAGACACCAACATGGCAATAAAGATATATGGAGATTCTCCTGTGTTCGATGATGCTGAGGTTTGAATGTTTCACTATTACATATTACTGAGCAGTTAACTGTTGTAATGTGCAATGCTATAATGTTCATTTAAAAAAAAAGCATGAAAAAAATCACAATGAGTTTATCCGTACAGTACGGGTTGGTGAATTTAAAGATTTCTGATTTTACCCCTACTATTCCTCAAACAAATAAAACTTAATATATTCAATAAGCTAAAATTAGTTTTAATTTGATGCTACATCACTGAAAGATAAAAGTATTGCTCTGAATAATCGGCAGATCACAGGCTTGCAGTTTTATCACGACCGTCTGTCCGTGCTCAATCAAGCGGAGTTTGCAACATTTCTTAAACGGTTTTTGTTTTAAGTTTCCTTCTTATCATTTTTTGGTGCCATGCTGTACAGCTATATTACGTTTCTACACCTATTTATATGTTAAGTGTCTTCAGTGCTTCACTATATGCATTTTATATTTTGAGGCATATCTTGACCTCCTTTATATTTTAGCTTAAAGAAAAAACTATTCAACATAGACGGTTCAAGGAAAGTTTTCATGACATACTGAAGGAGTACAACGATCTGCAGAAGACTATCCGAGCGAAAGAACGTGAAAGTCTTCGAAAATCTCTTATGAAATCAGGCATTTATGTAAAAGGATTTCCATATCTGATATTCTTTTAATTAAAATTGACATTAAATCTAAAGAAACAACAACATTTGTATATTTGTTTACATATTATAAAAAACACTGGACTCGTGCAATTGCTAAAATTGACACCAGTATTATAAATAAATTCATTTAATGAACTAGCTTGATAGAAATTTTTCAATATGATTATTAGAAGTCCGCAAGGCAGCTTAATTGACAAAGACTATTAGTCTTATATTTAACAATGAGTTTGAAGAAAATAATTTACTGTTTGAGGTGAGATTATCACATTATTTATATATTTCAAGGACATAGATGTTGATGAAAGAGGAGAACTGATCAAAGACGGGTAAGTTCTATTATAACCATCTTACTTCCTTTTTGAATAACACATAGCCTGAAAATACTTTTATCATTTATGAAATACAAATAAAATTTGTCAATGATGGTAACATTTTGTATTGTTTATATATTTTGACATAGTGAGCATATTCAAGCAGAAATGATTCAAGCGGAAGTTGATCTAGATTTGATCAAAGAAAGAGAACAAGAACTAAAACAATTGGAGGTATGTTAATAGTTTCACGAATATTATCTTTTGAGAGACAATAGTAATGCGAGACAATCATTACAGTGCCGTATAGAATTGACACCATATTTTACAGAGTTACTTCCCTTGCTATGAAAAAATATATCTATAGATACATGAATTTGTATTACAACACTGGGGGAAACATGTGCGTAAATTCTATATCTAATTAAAGTATGATTCCATATGCAATCACTTTTTCAATATTTGTAATACTCCTGTTTTCAGCAATTTTGTGGGTTTTTGCTTCTTCATATCAATGTTGTTAGATTATTCTGGTATTTGGAGAATACTGATTTTATTCACCTGAATCAATCTGAGTCTGAGACTGTCACTTCTCCATTTTTTTAAATATGTTCTGGCGAAACTTAAATTGTTCCAGAATATGGCAAACAAAAACCAAAGTTGCTACAGAATGCCCAGGACCTCAAAATAGAACTGTTGCAGGTTCTTTTTGATTGAGCCTGTTCAAGTTAAGCAAAAAGTTTATAAGTTATATACATCGTGTCAATGGTCCTTGAGTAAAGATAATCCTCGCACTTGGCGTCACTAAGATTATATGGGTTGTTATATTGAAAAAAGCCAGTGTATTAATTTTTTGTGAAACAGCATTTCCAAGAGATCAGATATTTGGCATGTAGCATTACCTAGTGTACCTCTAAAATGTTATATAATTAATGCCACTTTGAGAAAATATATAATTTGGCATGTTATCCTCCACTTATATTAGGTAAGTAGTTCCCCTTAAGTAATAAATGTCCCCGTCCCGGGGGTTTCTTATTTTATTAAGACTTATTTAGGAAAACATTTTTTAGTCTTCTTGCATGAAATTGATATACCCAGACCTTCGATATTTCCCAAACAAAATTTTGTGTTGTAGTTTACAAAAATGATCATGCCCCTGTGGACAAATAAGGTCCAGCCTTGGAATAACTTAGGTTAAAAAGACTTACAAAGTAAATCAAAACAGTAGTCTTCTTGTATGAAATTTTGATGTCCAGACCTTTGATATTTGGCATGTAGTATTTCCAAGCAGACATCTGCTAATGTTTGGTACATGATGTAGCTTTGGTCAAATCTATAAATTATATAAAACTATCAATCGGTTTTACTCACGTATGGTACTTAACGGATGTGGTATAATGTACAATTCATATCAAAAGCATAAAATAATTTGTCTGAAATTTCAGCAAGACATATGTGATGTCCATGACATTTTCAAAGAGCTTGCTGGTATGGTTGAAGAGCAAGGCAATAATAGATATTATTAAGTTACTTATTCTTTTTAGGCCACGTTCATATACTTCATGGATTTTCATATATTTGTATTTACTTACATAATGTTTATGAATGTTGTAACATTAAACAATTATACTTCCGAATTCGTTCTTCCGTGGGAACGTTTCCTTTTCTTAATCAACCGAGAGTCATGTTCTTCTTAGACTGCTCTAATTTTGAGGCACTTAACATGGTAATTTGTTTCACTGTTAGCATTTACATGATTTATATTGTAGCTGAAGTTGAGGATAATCTTGATGTAGCTGTATTGAATATAGAAACTGCAGTCGAGGAGCTGCAACAAGCAGAAGAAAACGTTGTAAGTTGTCTAGGATATTGTTATTTTACAAAAACGTTTTTTCTTTTTAAGGAAAATTAGTTACCTGACTGAAAATTGTGCCAATTTTTGTAATTTGAAAGTTTGTTGTGTGTAATGTTTACTCTTCAGTAAGATAGTGTAGAAGTTGTTTCACAGTGAAAATATTAAAATATAATTTCACAGTAATCGAAGGCACTCGGTCGTAAGTGTTTGGTAAATGGAAACACATAAAATGTAAGAAACAATACAATAACCAAGTTGTTACCAAGATGAATATACTTACGCCATCCTTTGGTTTTGTTTGTTTCATTTTACGCCTTTTCCCCAACAGTATTTCAGTCATACAGGCGGGTAGTTTCCTTACCATCGTTACTGTAGACCATCCTTTGGTGATTGACGTTACGAGGCAAAATGATTTGACTTACACCACAAAAATGCATGAAATATATAACTTAAGAAAAATCTTTGTTTTGCATGCTAAATTAAATTATATTTTACTAGTGAACATCAGTTATTATATTTCAACTCGTAGTACCTCGTTCATAAAATAATGCATCTGGTGATCATTCTTTGAAATACATTTTAGTCTTAAATGCAAAACATGAAAATTATGTAAAATGTTATCTAAATGTATAATATGAATACCATAATATAAGATAATAAAAAGCATAGGCGATGTTTGCGGGATGTAGCCACTACAAAGCCCAGGAAAAAATAACAGTTGTGTTTTTTGTTTGTTTCAACTGAACATTAACAACGGTTTATTGAACATAAGTTTTGATTTGCATTTAAATATATACAATTTATTGCAAATATCGGTATTATTTTAGTGTTCTACTGGAAAATTAATTGTTTTACCCTATTGAACTTAAATCAATTTTATTATTTTTTTCAAATTGTTTCATTTATTCCTCATTTATTGAAGATTTAACCATTCTTATATTTTGCGATATTAATTGAATGCAATTTCTAATCATTTGTGTCAGGGAATAGGCAAAACATAAACTAATTTGGAAGGACAGTTAAACAAATCTGGAAACAAAGTGATCCCTCGGAAGCATTAATCACAACAAAATTACATGAAAATTGCAGACTCGGTTTGATTGAATCTGTACATGAGGGATAATGAATAAGTGCAGCATTCCTTACGCCCCTAGCACCGGCTTGAGCGGAACTCAATTCAGTAAGACACGTTCAACCTAATTCACCGGTCTTTTTTTATTTATTTCAGAGTTCGTCGAGAAGAAAGAAGATCATATTAGCAGTAGTCATAGCATCAGTTGTTTTGATTTTAGTAACTGTTATCTTAGCCTGGCAATTGTCATGATGTTTAAAATGTTCTCTTTCTGTTTTTGCTGACTTGAAAATTATTTATATCTTTACATTGTTAATTAAACTGGAAAATTTTGTTATACAGGTCTTTCTTGTTTTGAAAACAAATATGCACTTATGAGACGTAATCTGTCAACCTGACAGTTCATACATATTATAATTTTGTTTCAGTACAAGACTTTATTTTAAGCTGAAAAGTATATAAAATAAGATATTTGGGACAAACAAGCTGGGGTACATTTACCAGCGATCTTTCTTACCGTCGTGTAAGTAATCATACACAGACTGCAGTGTTGTACGTATACAGCTCGCAAAGTATATAGCCTACGCATGCGCTGTATAGATTAATTAAAACGTATTTATTTTTCGGTGAGATGTATTCATTAGTTGACAACGAATACAGGTAACGAAGGCTGTAATACGTTGAGTGTGTACACCCATTTTCGAAAAAATATGTTTTGTCTTAATACAATTAATAGTTCACTCATAATGAAAGTGTAAAACCATTGCCATCATTTTACTACAGTTTTCATATTGGTAACTGTTTTGATTATAACCAGAAAATGACACAGACACTTGGGGTTTGGAGCTCAAAACGCCTTTAAAATCCAAATAAAATGCATATTTGTCAATCCCAGCACATGTACTGATCATATATATAAAAAAAACTTAATATAAGCCGTTTTGAAAAAAAATCATATTTCAACATCTATAATAATACACAAGATAAAAATGTTCGCCGGAAAAAATCCGCACCCCTACCGTCATAATCACCATGTATTTTATTCCATTTCCAATATTTTCACATAATCCTTTGGTCCATCGACACAGAAGATATAATTCTTCACGATGATGGTCAATTTTAAACTTCAACGGTAATATAAACAACGCAACAGCCGAAATAAACATCAAGATTATCGCCGTTTTCCTCCATTTACAAAATCTTTCGATAAATTCAATGGACCAGTCGGCTATGAACGAAGCTATCCGATTATGTGGCCCCAGCTTTGCCGTGTGCAAAATGCGCAGCGCTTTTAAGTTTGGGAACCACATAATCGGATGGCTTCGTTCATAGCCGACTGGCACGTTTGAATTTATCGAAAGATTTTGTCAATGGAGGAAAACGGCGATAATCTTGATGTTTATTTCGGCTGTTGCGTTGTTTATATTACCGTTGAAGTTTAAAATTGACCATCATCGTGAAGAATTATATCTTCTGTGTCGATGGACCAAAGGATTATGTTAAAATATTGGAAATGGAATAAAATACATGGTGATTATGACGGTAGGGGTGCGGATTTTTTCCGGCGAACATTTTTATCTTGTGTATTATTATAGATGTTGAAATATATTTTTTTTTCAAAACGGCTTATATTAAGTTTTTTTGATATATATGATCAGTACATATGGTGAGATTGACAAATATGCATTTTATTTGGATTTTAAAGGCGTTTTGAGCTCCAAACCCCAAGTGTCTGTGGAAAATGAAACATTGTGATAATAGAGCGATAAATCAAAGTTCAAGTTCACTTTGACTAAAAAAAAAGACATTGTTTCATCAAAACAGAAAGATTCTTTTGCCTGCAGAAATTAAGTGATGATCAGGAAATAGACCCTATTGATTTTTCTGGCGGAGTTGTCGTAGTTGAAGTTAACGTCTTAGTAGTCATCGTCATAGTCAGCCGAAGTCGTCATTGTTGGAGTCGTCAGCGTAGACACTGTAGTTGAAGCCGACATGGTCGTAGGCGTCGTTCGTAAAAACCGTTGTCATAAAAAGTAACGCTGTTGTATCTGTTTTTGTAGTCATAACAGTTATCGTAAATATCGCAGTCATGGTCGCAGTCGTTGTAGCTGTGATCGTAGTCGTAACAGTAAGTGTTGACGTGATCATATTCGTATAGTCGAAGAAGTCGTGCTAGTGGTACTCATCGTCGACTGTCACTTAAATTCTTGTAATCCTTTATGTCGAAGTAATGGTCGTTATCGTCGTATTCGTGGTCTGAAAAGTTCTAGTCGCAAAAGTTGTAGTTGTAAACTGCCCTCGTTGTCTAAAACTCATATTACTAGTAGCCGAACTGAAAGTTGTAACTGTATTTGAAATCGTAGAAGAATAATCGTTTTTTACATGTGGTACATGTCGTCTTTGCACTAGAAAACGACTCGTAGTCGTAAAAGTCGTAGAATTCGTAGTTGTGACTGCAAACTGGCCATATCTTTCGCTGAAGTGGTGGGTCCATCGCAGCAGCGGCGGGGTATTCGTCGCAGAAGCGGTGGATAAAATATGGCTGTTTGCAGTTGTCGGTAAGAATTTTACTAAATTTTGTTTTATGTTGTAATGTTTTACTGAAACTGGAGTCCGTATATGTATTCTTACAACTTATTACACGCACACGGTGCAATTCATTGTCATTTATGCAAACACGTCTGTACAATTTGACAAGGGGACGCCACTTTTGCCTAATTTTGGTTTATATGCAAAACGACCCCTTTATACACTGGCATCACATCTTATGAATGATACTTGCACAAAACAACCGTATATTGGGACTTTTGGAAATTGTTATTGCATATATATAGAATAAATTACAAAAAAATAATAACAACACAGACGGCAATGGACTCCACTTCATCGCAGTGCGGTGGGCCGTATAGCATTTATTCAACTTTTAGGGTTTAGCATGACATATATTGTCCTTTTCAATCAAGAACAACATTTTAGTCACTTTGACCTCAGAAAAACGTGTTTATTTGGTGTTTAAAGCAATATAATGATATATATAAATAGATGTCTGAGTACCGATTCCATTTTCCTTCCATTGAAAATTCATTTGGCAGGTATTATCATAAAAAAGTTCAACAAACAATTTCCTTTTATTACAGTAGCAAAGATGTCGATTTTGAGTTCTTTCACCATTCGAGTTGAATTGCGCAGTAAGGTTAGAACATATCAAGTGGCCTTTATCGTTATATTTATACATTTATTTCCTTCAGGGATCATGCACTTGAAAACCAAGACCGAAGAAGAACCAAGGCCCGGCTGAAACTAGGAGTCATTACACCTGACCTTTATTCACCACCGAAAGAAATTTACAAATGCGCAGGGAGTTCCATAATGTGATAAATAAAATTTTTAACCAGACAAAAAAACACGTGTCAGACATTTATAATGTATATAGCAGTGGTCACATGTTATCATATACCCATGCCGATTTCTGCCTTATTAAAAGCGTTCCCGTGCATATATTTTTTGAATTGCGGCATATATGAGTTATACAAACATAGAGTTAACACATGTTAAAGGCGTTTTCGAGATTATCATATTATTAGTTTTAAAGAGTTTTATAGGTTATATTATTAGTAATATGGACATATATAAATCGTGACGTTTATTTAAGAAATAATATCGGTCTGAGCGGTGTTGATCGGCTATTTAACACCATAGGAACTCGAGAACGGGACCGCAGATTGCGGCGCATATTTTCGATCGTGTAACGGTTTTTAAAAACGTTTCTGCTACATCTAAATATCTTTTAGTATTATCCGAGTATATGGCCTCAAAAAATATATTATCAATTGAACCCAATCTGTCTCTTTTAAAACTGGTCAAATTTTACGGTATTATAAAAAAAGACAAGGAGTGACATCCGCCATTCGCCGCAACGTTTTCGGCATGAGTTTTTCCCCTTTGGCTACAATTGATTACTATTTTTTCAGAATTTTGTTCCCGTTATTTTTGTCAACTATCAGGTATCGTCCGGATATAACGTTCACGGTTTATTGTTTACACGTGTTGACATGTATAGGCGGCATTATAACGGGCGTATTCGTGTTTTGATTTGTTAACATGGAGAAAACAGACACTTTAGTAATATGGTCCAACTGATTTTGCCTAACTGAAAAAAGGAATATTAAAACATGATCCATAGATAAATATTTTAGGCCCTCGTCTGGTATTCATTACTAGAAAAATTAAAACAAAAATCAAGCATATCAAGGGGGATAACTTACGCCGAACTTTGCGGTAAATGGCGGATGTCACTCCTTTTCTTTCTTCAATATACCGTAAATTTGACTGATTTTCAAATTAGCAGATTATATTAAATTGAGATTAGATAATTAAAGACCACACGCTCGCATAATATGAAAATATATTCAAAGATCAGACAAACAATTATTAAGGCCGGTACGGATTCGGATTTATGCGCCGCAATATGCGGTCCTGTTCCAGAGTTCCTATGTTTAACACCGGTTTGGAGTTTTAATGCGTAGGAATTTTTTCGCATCAAAACGACAAAACCGGTGTGAAATAACCGATCAAGACCGCTCAGACCGATATTATTTCGATTTTAACAAGACAAATAAGGCTATTTTTCAAGCGGTGATTGCTACGGCTGCCGATTTTTTATTTCACAACCTGTTGTCGCTAAGGAAACAAAAGGAATAATAAGAAAAAAGCTTCTACCTATCTGTTCATTAATGACTTTATCAATAAAAATGACTTATTGTTGCCTTAAAAAGACTTTGTAAAGGGAGTAAAAATCTGAGACAAAATCACGAGCAGTATTAGAATATTAGTTATACTTTTTTGACATGTGTATATGGCCCTTATAAACAGTTATATTGCAAACAACTGTTTATATACGGTCATATAACCTGTATGAAATATTTATAAGGAATTTATACTACAGCAAGCATTTTTTCAGAAAAAAAAAAAACCGTGAGATTTCTTCATAATTATATATATACAGCCGTATTTAAACTACATGTATATAACGCCACGATTATTCAATGTAAAGCGACGTAACAAACCTGCAGTATTATAAACACATATAGGCAGAATTACAGAATATAGTCTTATAACTTGGCATGATGTTAGAATATGATAACAGAAACAGTTGAAGCGAAAACCACTTAGGGGTCACCGATCTTGTTTTGTGTATGCGATTTTTTTTCTCATTTGGGGTTATTCCAGGGGCAGATAACTTGTTATGTTTTTCAGTACATTTTTAAACAATTGAAATAAAAATAAATCCATAAATACCGTTTTTCTTTGATAAATGTCACAATTAAAAAAAATAAA